AGGCGGCAGCTGCATTTGTGGACCAGCGAAGTGGCTTACATTTAAGACCACAACATTTATTTTACTTATCAGGTATAACATTATGGGTTTAACTCTAACACGCCGATGCGCGCTGGTGTTCAATTCAGCGGCTTGAGTTCTGGGCTAGTGAAAGATTGGAAAACTCCTAACGATGTTGGTCACTACACGTTGTTCAGGTGTATATTTATCTGCACGGCAGAACGCTTCGGAATGGTGTTAACACAGAAAGGAGAATAAAATTTCTAGTTCAAATAGAGTGTTATCGGCCAACAGAAGAACGAATTCCTACGAAACTGCCATTTGAAAGTAAAGTATGCGGCGATTAATTTCTAAGTTAGAAAGTGGTTTGGCTGTACATGACCGTCGTAACATATGAGTTAACTGGAATATAATGCGAGTCGTGGCGAACTGTTATTCTCACCCTTGCTTCATTGGCATATGCTACTGGCTAGTGGAACAATCTGCTGGCGACTCTGCATACCGTGCACTATATATTGAGAGCATTGACACTACGTATGAATCTGAAGAGCGTGAAAGTGACAACTGGAGCGCTTCCGGATAGTTACTTGGGCTATCTGGATTCCGAGCTGCAGAGAATAAATTGCAAGTATGGAATTTGTTTTAAGGCAGGTATTCTGAGTATTCTGGCTCCAGTGTGATGGCAATCGGGCTAAAACCTGCACATCAATCGGAAAAACAGGCTTGATTCCTGGTAAGATGAACTCAGAAAACTGAGACACAATCAAGCAATAGGCATAAAATGAGAGAACTTTGCGCTATTTATCAACCTCCTTTGAAACACCAAATATGCAGACGCAGCAGATTGTGCGCCACTAAGGAATAGGCTCAGAAGAGGGCCGTTCGTGCACGTGTACTTCAGCACGATTCATCTTCAGATAGCTTTTACCTTCAGAATAGTGAGCCGTAAATTATACTTGAACCTAGCTGTATTCGTAGTAATCAGACTGTAAATTAGAAATATTTGATGTAGGGCGGATTCGCTGTGATCAAATGAAGAATTGCAAGAGTTGTGTCGCGCCGGTTTTCTGCGGAGCGGCATAATAAATTTTCTAAAACCATTCATGTCTATTATCACCGTATGAAACTGTTTGAATTTGCGGGCAGAGAGAAGGTAAGATACAGTCCAGGTATATTTTATTGACTACCCAACGGGTTTGTATCGCACATGTGGTCTATCCAGCTCGGTCGCCGCTTACTAAGAAAATGAAGAAAAATGTGCATTTGCAATTGGTGTTTATACATGTAAATTCGATCAGATGTATCTCGCACGTTGTTTGGTAAAATATAGTTTAGTTTAAAAACTCATTTGGTCATAAATCACTCGTGGAGCAAGTGATACGCTTTAACAAGCCGCATCAATCGCGACATTTACTGTGTTCTGCTTCTCCGAACCAAGCACAGTCTTAAGTGACCAATTGACTATAAACATTCAGTAAACTGTCGTCTAATTAATCACGATGCTAGCAGTTTTGCAGCCTTATTATTTACGTTGTCCGTATCAAATATATTTCTGTTGCTCAAGACATTGCACACACATATATATACCAATATTCCGAACGTGTGCACTCAAATATCTTCGACCTAGCAAGAAAGTACTACTGTCCTATCATTGACACTATTTGGCGTTTAACTGAGTTCATTAGTATTTAACAAGTATCGGTTATTCACTTACTATAACCCCAAATTCCCCCTGAAAAATGAGAAGAACATGGCGAAGTGAACCGTTATACCGTTGCCGAGATTTGATCGTCAGACAAACACGTTATAATCCGGTTAAGAAATAAAATGTGTTAACAAGATGGCAGATTCCGGCTTCATGTCCACCAGTGTGCAATTTACATCCCATAGACATTTACCGGCTGCAAAGTGGGAGAGCATGAACTTGTTGCTGAGCATTGGTGCGAATTACTTCCCGCAGGATATGTCGGTTTGGACAAAATGCATGCCAGTTTATCTCATCCAGTGATGCAGTACTGAACGCAGCGAACAAACAAAAATCGTCACTTAGATGAAATGGTCGTATGACAGCTGTCGTCACACCAACAAATCGAGGTTGTCAGTTGAACTGTTTGCGTTGTTACCTATGGTGAGGACGACGGTGCATAATTAGGAAGAACGACTAGAGTGTTGAAAATGCAACGTCTTTGGTTTGCATCAACTACAAACCGACATTACTGTGTTGTTATTACATCGGTCCACGAGGACCTATCAAGCAGCACAGCATTGTTTTCAGATCAAATCCCCAACATCTATTCTTGTTTCTTAGTATACATTTGGCGTATGCTACACTGTTAGTGCTCTAAGTAGTTTAGTGAACAACGGCAAGCGAAACTGCAAGCTGCCAATCAGTGCAGCCCAACATGCAATTTTGCGTTCCAGATCACATTATTGGTCGGGATCCAACTAAGTCTGACCACAACATGAGAGACCTGGAGAATTGAGAAGATTAAAAATGCTAACAATAACACAATCACCTTTATTAGCGGTTGCTAATGTGTTTCCATACAATGAGGCACAGCTATGGTAAGCCAGACATGCATCAGTCATCCAGGAAAATGCTAGGTTCCGTTTCGTCCGATGGAGACGCATTACTATCGGGCACAAACCGTATCTCATTAAACTCGAGCGCCTTACATTGATATTAGTAGAGAGCGACTCAGATGGCACAGCGACTTGTGGCGGCGTGCAAAGGAATTCGCAGCTTTGGGTTTTGCGGCTCTTCTGTGCACTTCACAACATCCATTACAAAGGAGGATAGACCGCGCTATATTGCACCTCGATATCAGTCACGACAGTCCGCCGCCGTCACCCATGGCTCAGTGGCGTACGTAACTGACAGTTAAGAGGAAGATCATGGGTTCGAATCCCAAGGTATCCAACAGATGCGCTCTACTGGCAAGTCTTATTGGTACGAAACGGACGTCTGTTGATTTCCTGGATATATGGTGGATACGTGACTGCGCCTAGTTACAACGGATCCTTTCAAAATGTAACCACTGTCTACATGCTTCAATGCACAGGGTTCAGGAAACAGCAGGGGTCAGAGCTACGCACGTACACTTGCAAAACGTTGACGTCGTCGCCACGAAACGCTGCATGTCGACGACTAAATATACGGCATGTAAGGTTAGCACCTATCGCACGATTAAGCTAAACCTGTGCCTGGTGGCATACGAGTGTGTTCGCTTCCGTTGTTGTTCCGTCACGATGGCTTGGTAAACTGATTACATAGAAACGCACGCGGCTGTTCGAAATGAGGAATGCTCGTTTTTGGAGTGTGGATAATCGTTCGCGACAGCGGGCATCTATGTGTTCGTCAGGGACGAACGTATAGATCTCTCAAGAAAATTAACACATTACAATAAGTTTCCGTCAAGCTGATTTCATCTTCATGGAATGAACGTTTCTAGATTACTTTCAGCACCGAAATGTCCTCTCCAAACCTATGAGCACAACGGGTTTTCCAATGCATAGCAAGAAATTCAGCATCTTGCTCATCGTCCGAACGAGGTTAATGCATCTAACGCATCTAATGAAATTTACTGCATGGTTGATTCCAAATGTGTAATTGCGTAATCCGTTGCTTCAATATCAGACAATTGTAATGGCCGTGGCTGGGCATGGTTGAAACAAACAACAGACTAGAGGAATTGGTTGTGATGTTATTATCCCCACTGCGCAAGTACCACGAACAAAATAAATCAATAATTTACAGACCAAATTTCGAGTAATTTCAAACTTACTGCGGTCAGCTAGAGCTAGTTCTACAATGTGGAAATGACGAAGTTTCATTAGTATCCCTTTATCAACAATCAGAGAAGCACTAACTGAGACAAATTGATTAAATACGACTTCAAACGTTAGACAAAAGTGGGTTCCAAACGAGCAATACTAGTAATGCTATAATTTGTTCCCACAGTTGTTGATAGAAATGTCAATGCGAGATAGTGAATGTGTGTGCTGCTTGTTGTTTCACATAATCTCTAAGTGTGTTGAGATTACATGTGGCATTCTAACTACATGATGTCGCGAAATCTTATCAACACCTCACAACACGGCTTCCTAAGCACGCGATCCTGCATAACATGTCAGATAGACTTTCTCAGTCTTCTGATTACTTCGCTCGATGACGGTTCATCAGCGATAGTCATCTACCTAGATATGCACAAAGCATTTAATCGTGTCCCTCATAACCACCTCTTATCCAAACTAACTGCATATGGCATAGACAACCCTCTGCTTTCATGGTTTGATTCTTACCTAACTAATAGAACCCAGGTTGTTCAGATCGAGCACGAAACAAGCACGCCAAAGCCTGTCACCAGTGGTGTGATACAAGGTAGTGTTCTGGGACCCTTTTTATTCCTACTTTACGTAAATGATATTTTTGATGTCTTTGCCTCCGGCAAACCTTTCCTGTTTGCCGATGACATCAAAATTGTTTACACTTTTAATCCAACTGAGGTCAGTGATACGCTTAGCGAAATGCAGCATGACTTACGTACACTGGACTCATGGAGTTCCAAATGGATGATGACATTCTCTACTGATAAATGCCACGTGGTATCCTACAGATGTGACATCACACCAGGTTCACTAACTATAGATGGTAAACCATTGTCTCACTGCCACACTATCCGTGACCTAGGGATCCACTACTCGAGCACCCTTAACTTTTCCGAACACGCAGGACACACCGCAGCTCAAGCCCGCCGAAGCATTGGGCTTTTGTTCAAAACATTTAACTTAAAAGAATCCATTAACACCATGTATAGAATAAAAACGCGCCCGCTGCTTGAATATGGCTCCATCACCTACTGTAATTCTAGAGTGAGTGATCGTATGGCATTGGAACGTGTTCAACGATCATTTACTAAGCGTCTTCTAGGCTATTCCACCACCCTATCTTACATGGATCGTTGCGTTGCCTTAAAACTTGATCTACTGTGGCTGCGAAGAATGAAACTTAACCTTTTCATCTTCTTTGACACAATTACCCAAAAAATACATTCTTCACGCCCATCGGTACAACGAGCAGAATTATCAAATTATCGCACCCGAAATAACAATCACAATAAAGTAAAAGTGAAAAGATCACGAACGAAACTGTCTGACAACTTTTTCCTAAATCGATACTCCATATTGTGGAACAGGCTTCCATCTGAGATACGTGCAATCCAGTCAGGGATGAAGTTCCGACACGTTATACATTCCTTTCTAAACGTCGAAACAGCGATCGGTATATTGCAACCTACCTTGACAAGTGAATCCCCATACGAAATAGGAGCAAGATGGATATAGTATCAATATCAGGGGATCTTTTTATTCTCCTGTTGCCCGATCTTACTGCCCTCCCCAAATTTATCAGTAGCAATAACGTGTTTTCTAAAGGCAAAAATATCCTGATTAACAATGAAGTTCACACTCACCAAGACGGAAATGTGCCCTAGAGTTCCTCTCGAGCAAATTATTTCGCATTTGTTTTGCAACACTAATTATCTTCCACTTATCTTTTCCCCTGGCCCCCTCCCTTAGGTACGAGCTGCTGTGTTACGTGCTCAGCGAAATCAATGTTGATTTAATCCTTCTGCTTTTGGACTGAATCCATTTGATAACACCTTCCGAAAACCTACCATGATCTTCCACGCTTACGTTCACTCTGAACAAATCCCCTCATCGAAATCAGCTTCTCCTCTTACCGCACACAGCTGAACAGTTGGAACGACGGTTAACTTACTTTACTTTGCGTACAGTTTTCTCTCTCTCCCTGAGAAATACCATGCGTACATACAACATTTCTCAGTACCATACCAAATTATTTCGCATCACAAATTTTCCCATTTTGATCTCCGACAACGGCTGGAGCTATCTTACTATTTCCTCCGATGATTCTTCTCCTTTACTGTAAAAAGCATGTATATTCCTGAGGTTATCAGTCACCAGTGAAACTTGTACAATCTGAATCGAACAACGTCGGACGAAAACCTAGCATTTCACGTTACTGTACGTCCACCCACTTTTATTTGCTTATTTCTCTCCTTCCAGTGTTGGCCAGGATTGGGCCGATCTCCCGAGGCTATGGATAAATGCTTCCGAAAAAATGCAGCACACTCATGCAGTATGAGTTATCACAAACTCACTGGCACATATTACAAGTGCTTGATTCGAATCAGCCAAATGATGGCTATGCGATGGGGAGAGCTTAATATGAAACACAGGCCCCCACAGTACAGTGCTGGAATTGAATCAGCTAAAAGATGGCTGTATGATGGGGAGAGCTTTTCATTGAACACAGGCCCACACAACACAGTACTGGAAACAAATCAGATAAAAGATGGCTATACGATGGGGAGAGCTTAATATATATCACAGGCCCCCACATAACTGTATACATATAACGCCACAATAGCACATGGCCAGATGAGATGTGGAAGAGAAGTGTGGAAGCAGGTCTCCGGGAGACGGTTTCATGATGGGTCGTATTACTCCAATTAAACTGACAGTTTATATATACTTTTATTCTTACTCTCAACTTCTACTACTCTTACTCCTTTACTATTTTTAATTGATTTAGCATTGAATCATTCCTATGTGAACACAATGGATCACTGAATATCCTTCTCCACTACCCGATTTTGTTGTACCACATGATCAGGCTCGTAGTTTGTCTGTGTCTCGCCTGTCGAGAAATATATCATTTATTTATTTATTTATTTATCTCGTGACAAGAAATCACCAACCTCCGCCTTAGCTTCCTCGGAATAACAGGCAGCGAAGTGTTTCGACCCCCTGTTATCCACATCAGGATCCCCGCTTCATTTGATTGTTGCTTTTCAAGGTAGCTCGCAAACCGTCCGAGCTGCTTTTGTTGGCTTTTGCTTAGGATTGATTGACCGGTTAGTTATGCAGCGAGCACTTTGAGCAAGAGTTTGTCACCACGTTACTCGGCCTGCCAACGGTATACCATTAATACCGGAAGCCACACTCGGCAGGTCATCTTCGTTCATCTTGTGTGACAAATAATCCGCAGTTTGGTCCTCCTTCCCGGCAAGTGGTTTATCGTGAAATCGTATGTCTGCATGCCCATCGCCCATCGCTAGCTTTCCCCTGGGGTCTTTGTCAGACTTAATCCATGCCAAAGACTTGTGGTCCGTTTCGAAGTGAAATCGCGGGCCTAAGATATGGCCGCCATTAGTCCAACACCCAGACGATTGAGAAACATTCCTTCTCTATCGTTGAGTATTTGCGTTATGCTGGTGTCAAAATTCTGCTAGCATACTCAATGGTCACATCGCTTTTTTAAAAGCTGCGCCGACGCCGATGCCGCTGCCGTTCGTGGCCACCGTGAACATCGCCCCAACAATGGGCGATTTCAGGGTCAGCTCCTGCCTTCCCACTTCCTACAGAATGCGAACACAGGCTTGTTCGGCTACTGCGGTGCGTGAATTTCCTATCTTGTTTCAGCAGCTCGTGCAAGGGTGAGGCTAAGTTGTTGAATTCTTTGATGAATTTCCTGTAATACCCAGCACGGTCCAGGAACGCTGTGAGAGTGCCCTCTGAGGTAGGAACTGGGGTGCCTTGTATTGTCAATATTTGCTCAGGCAGTAGCTTCAGCTTACTTTGTCCCACTTTACGACCCAATAAGGTGACACAAGTCTTTTTGATCTGGGACTTAGGGTCACTTATGCGGAGTTCCGACTGCTGAATCCGTTCCAAGACTGATTCGAGCTGATCGCTGTGCTCTTTCACTGATTGGCTATACACCACGGTATCATTCGCGTACACCGCCACATTCTCCAAGTCACTCAATAAGCGAAGCATTAAACGTCCGAAAGTAAACAGGGCTCCTTGATAATCCAAAAGGCATTCATTTAAATTGGTATTGTTTTTCGCCGACAGTAAACGCCGTTTTTTCTAGGTATCGTTTGGTCGCCAGTTGCCGGTATCCAGATCTCTGATCCAGAACCGCGAATATCCTCGACTGTTGCAATCTAGCAACAATGTCAGCAACTGGTGGCACTGGGACGAAACGAGTCACTGAGATTTCATTCAGTCTTCGGAAGTCCACCCAGAAACAGTACTCCCCATTCGCCTTCTTCACCAAGACAACTGGAGAATTGTATGGGCTGTGCGCCTCCTCAATCACATTCGCGTCCAGCATCTCCTGCAGTTGCCACTTTAATTCAGTCTCCAGATGGATTGGTTTCCTTCGGGGTCCATTGGATCGAGACGTCTGGCGGGTTAGCGGAATGGTGGGCTCGATCCACTCATAAAATCCATACAGGCTGCTACCACCCGTAAACATGAGGTGCTACTTTGTGATCAGTGACTGCAAGGTCAGGCTTAAATGTGACATGGCAACGGCCGATTCCGAATATATAGTTTCTCCACGGTCAATAAGTGGTAACAACCCGCATTCAGTCAACACTTTCCCACGTTTTAGATCGACGATAATCTTGTTGTACTCCAGGAAATATGCCCCCAATGTGGTTTGTTTCGCATCTGGTGATAAGATAAAGACTGTTTTATTTTCTTTTCCCCGATTCTCACGATGTCTTCGGTCATACCATCGATCCCACTGAGTAACCGTCAACAGCTATCACTACCAAGGAGCCCGATGGAAGCTTTTCGCCCCGCCGGTGCGTGATCGGTGACATCACGGCATCCGTTGTAGCGCCCAAAAAGATAACTCTTATGTTTCATGTACAATTTAATTGTTGACC